GGTCTTCAATGCACAGACCAGGAGCTGTGACCTCAGACCCATCTGGGACTTGAAAACAGTGGGGACAAGTTTACTGCGAGGCTGGGACAAGGCCACTCAAAGCAGAGGCCAGGGAAGGGCAAAGGGTTGTGACTGGGGGCAGGGGTCACCACCAGGACGGGGAGACATGGGGCCAAGCCCCAAAGCTGCATGAGGCACAGTGGCCACCAGGGGGCAGCACCACCCAGCCTGGCCGCCACCCAGGTGCTGTTCCTCAGCTCAAGGGGAGACCTTCCTACTCCTGGCTCGAAAGCCCAGCCCCTTCACTGCCTGCCCCCAGGAGCGAGCAACATGGAGGACTCGGCGTTGATTTCTCTCCATCAACCTTGCTCCTGCCCTCCCAGGTAGGTGGTCTCACCCTATCACATAAATGAGAAAACAGGCCAAGATGCAATGTCCCTCCAGCCCCCCTCCCCTGCCACAAACTTCACCCCAGCTGGGTCTGGCCTAAAGCCCCTAGAAATCCAGCTGCAGGCCTGACACCCTGCTTGGCTGCCAGGGCGACCACCAGCCCCCGCGGAGTGCAGCCCCTTGGCCTTTCAAACCTCCACATTCCTCAGCTCCTTCCTCGCCCTGGAATCCTCACTGGCCGCCCTGGGCCCCGGGAACAACTTCACTGACCCTAACTCAGAAGGACTTCCACGCGTCTGGGTGGGTTCAGGACAACGGGGAGGCCAGCCTCCTGGCCTTCTCAGCTGCAGTCAAGTGAGGACTCTGTTTCCCTGCCTGTAAAATGGGGGTGCTGACGGTGCCCTCTCTTGTCCTGTGACAGTGAGAGAAACTGGCAAAGCGTAGGGTGCTGTGCCCCTTTGGGATGCAGCCATTTGCAGAAAAGCCCATCAGAGTTCCCTTGACGGGACGTGGGCGGGGCCGCTCCCTCCAGCTGTAAGAGTGTGGCTGCCAACGTCTCACAGCTGCCCCCTCCTCAGAGTTGCCCTCACAGACAAAAGCCACCGGCACCAGGCATGTCTGGAACCACAGTGGGGAGAAGGGGGAGGTGGACCCAGCCCCAGGGACTGGTGGACGAGGGGTGCATCGGCCCAGCACCGCTGAGGGGAGGGACACTCTGCTCACACTCCGGGGCTCTCCGAGGGACCCCGAGGCCGGCAGTCTCCTGACGCCACATCTTTGTGTGGCTCCTTCTCTAACCCGGCTGCTGCTTCTCCCTCCATGCGTTCTCCTGACAGCACCCCCGGGGATAAGCCACGTGGACCCAAATCCTCCTCTCAGGTCACTGGGGGGCCGGGCCTGTCCCGGCCAGCGGCCGCCCC